GATGTCAGGGTGGAAGGGACCACTGAGACCACCCAAACGGAGCCGCAGCCCTGCCACACCATGCCGGGAGCCACCGGAGAGGGGCCATGTGTCTGGGATGTGCAGATGCACATTAATTCAAGGCCTTTTCTTTCTCTCTTTTTATAAATGGTGAATGGCCGTTGGTGGTTGGAACAGATGAGCCATTGGCGGGCTGGCTTTTCCAACACTTGGAGTCCGAGAAGACGTGGTGAGCCGAGGTTTACCTGCCTGCTGTGTGGCCCTGGGGCAGAGGCGTCTGGCAGAGGCTGCCTGGGCAAATGAACCCTCCGCCCTCGGAAACCAGAGAGCTTTCTGGAGCTGGGCTCCCACCCTGCCTCCCTGGTTCTTTTGGGTGTCCATTAGGATGCTTTGAAGAAGTAAAACCCCAGGTACTGCCTTTGGAGGTTAAATTAGCTATTTGCTGCTAGCAAAAGCCATCTGGCTCATTGTTAGGGGCGGATGGGGGATATGGGAAGGGATGAGGACACCCCACATAGCCCCAGCCCCATCTGCAGCCAGGCAGAGCCCCGAGTGCTGCGTCCCCCACACGCACCCTCCTCGCACAGATGTAATCTTGCCAGCTCTGCGCTAGAGGCTGCGTGCAACACACAGGTTAGAGCTGCCATCTCCGTGTCATGTTCTGTAAAACTTAAAATTTCCAGAGCCCCACGCAATCGAATCAGCCCTCACAACCCTGCCTTAAGTGTGTTAGCTTGTCTGAGGAGCCGCTGAGTATTTATGAAGAAGGGAGACTCCTTCCATTCGGATTTTCCTGCTGGGAAACTGAGGCACATTGTCCATTGCTGAGTGGGAGAGATTTGGGCTCTGACAGTGTTTGGGAGGCAATGCTGCAGAGGTGCCCCAGCCCCGGGGGGCTGCCAGCCCAGCAGATCCTGGCACACAGGGCCACAGATAACCTGGAACATGGGATCTGCTTACATGGAAAATTGATCTCAAATAGGACAGAGCACAACTGAGGAGACAGCAGCTATCCCAGGGGTGCTGCCTGCCAAATGATGGGCAAGGAGGGGAGATGTGGGGCTGGAGGAGGTTGTTGCTGGCTCCCATCGTGTCCGTGCCGCTTGCCCACTTCGACTGCTCTTTGTGGTGTTTGAAAGGTCCTTGCACTCCCCCAGATCTCTCTTGGCAACTGAGCAGAAAGCACATCCCGAGGAGGACCAGGATGGCCGGACACATCCCTGCCTTGGCTCAAGAGGCAGCAGCAGCCTGCACGCTGGCGATTTCACAGCCGATTTTCTTGGGGGAACGGGGGCAGAGGGAAGCCCCATGCTGATAATGTACTGAAAGTAAATGAAATTAAATAAGCGAAGCAGCACTCGCAGCTCCTGCCTTCCCCCCTGGGTAATTCAATTCGAGCTCTGGCGCTGATGGGATCTCGCCGGGGCTGCCTCCGTCACCCCGCTGGGGCCTGGATTCTTAACGTCTAAATAAAAGTTTCACTCAAGCATTTTTTATGCTTCTGCCAGCGGGATCAGCGAGCTGACGTTGGGCACATTAATGTAATATTCATACTCGCAGGGTCTCCCTGTGCATCCAGCAGCACCGTCCCATTTTCATAATTATAAATGTCCCATAAAATGACATTTAGATTTGCATTAGCAAAAGGGGTCAGGGCTTGAATTTGAGAAGACAATGTGCCTTTTTACAAGTCAGATGCTCAGCATCGCTAGAGAAAAGCCCGAGCGGGTTTGTGCTGGGAAGGTGAATGGAGGAGGAATGCTGGGTTGCTGCCCTGGGAGGTGGCAGTGCAGGGGTCATTGTGTCCCTTGCTCACAGCGACTCTGTCAACCCATCTGGGGCCGAGGGGCTGCCTGTTGCAAAGCCCCATCCCCAGATTTAAGGAGGTGGTGAGTGCCATTAGAGACCGAGGCAGTGCAGGGTCCTGTCTCTGAGGGTGCCCAGGACCACCTGCATCCGAGGAGGGTGCAGGAGCTCCTCGGGATTATGCTGCACATTCCCCCCATTGGGAAAAATCTTCTGATACTGGCCAGTCTGAACCCTGCAAGAGAGTTTAGGTCCTTTTCATCATCCTTGTTTGTTTTCATTGTAAGAAAAATAATAATTCTGATGATCAGCGCCGTTTGTAGGGAGATCTCGATTTCCCCTCCACTCCCCAACCACTCGTGCAGTGAGTTGCACATACTAAAGGTGCAACCCTGCTCCGTTCCTTCCTTGCCAAAGCTGCCACGCTGCGTTTCTCCGGAGCAGACTCAGAAGTGAGCTCAGCCCGCCTTGCACTGGAGAGAAATGAGATTTCTCCGAGCGGGAAGGGGCCGTCCTCGTCCTCCCCACGTTGCAGAGAGGCATTTTTTTCTCTTCCTCTAATCTGAATCACCTCGAACAGCTTTGAACAAGCCGAGGATTTGGTCTTTGAAGGATCAAGTTTCCAGCCAACAGAGGAGACAGATGTAGGGGAGCTTCCCCCCAATCCAAACTTTGTGTGTCTTTGTGTCTGCCGTTCGCCCCGAGACCCATTTACAGAGGATTTATAGTGAGCCCAGAGTTTGCAAACTATAAAGCACAAAGATGAAAATAGCCCATGAATAAGGGAAGTGACAGCGGGGATGGATGGATTGGGCTGAGAGCTGGATGTTAGTGAGACACGCTAAGAAAACAGGAGAAGCTCTTGTGACCTGGGATTCTGGGAAGTTATTCATACTGGAGAGGCTGCCAAGGCTGGGCACTGGGGAGGTGATTAGTGGCATTCAGTTAGTCATTTTTTATTGTGTTTAGTACGATTTCTTCACCGAAAGAGCTGTCAGGCATTGGAACAGGCTGGCCGGGGGGGGGGGGGGGGCGGA